ACTAACCTCATCCCGCCCCCTTGACCTGTCCGTCCTCCCTGGACTGACCTATCCCCTCCCTAACTCCCCACCTACACTCACCTTTACTGGCCCCATCCCCGCCTCTTCGACCTGTTTGTTTCCTCTCCACCTATCGTCTCCTCTATCCATCTTCTATCCGCCTCCCACTCTCTCCCTATTTATTTCAGAACCCCCTTCCCCTCCCCCTTTTCTGATGAACGGTCTAGGCCCGAAACGTCAGCCTTTCTGCTCCTATGATGCTGCTTGGCCTGCTGAGTTCATCCAGCCCTGCACCTTGTTGTCTACCATATAACCGTGGCTGTGTGTGGGAATGCTGTGGGAATGCATGAGGTGAAATTGACTGATTTTGGACAATATACAAAACCAAGATGTTTCAAAAGTATCTTCTGTTCATTTCAAAGCCAAAAGTAATGCTTGGATGGATGCAGAAATTTTTAATTTGACGTTCCAACTGGTGCAAAAGAACATTTGCCAAAGAAAGGAATGACTGAAGATAGCAAAGTTGGGTTTTTATTGGATAACTGTTGCACTCATCCCCCAACAGAACAACTCATTAATGGCAATACCTTTGTGTGTTTTCTCTCTCCAGATGTGACAAGTTTGCTTCAGCCAATGGGTGAGGGTATAATCCAAAATTTGAAAATGCTTTATTCATTCAGAGGACAAGGGCATTACTGGCTAGGCCAGCACTTATTGCCATCCCTAAACGTCAAGAGGGCAGCTTAGAGTTAACCACACTGCTGTGGGCTTGTAGGTCAGGCCAGATAAAGATGGCAGTTCCCTTCCTTAAAAGAGATTAGTGAACCACATGGTTTTTCTCAACAATTGGCAATGGGGGGATTTATGGTCATCAGTAGATCCTTAATTCCAGATTTTTAATTGAATTTGTCTGCTGTGGCAGGATTTGAACCCAAGGCCCCAGAACATTACCTGGGTCTCTGGACTAACAGTCCAGCGATAACACCATAAGGCTACCACCTCCCCTTAATGACTTAATGAGAAAGCTGACAAACCATGAAGGTAAAATTCACAAATTTCAGCCAAAGTACTTTAGTAAAGATGCTATTTTTAATGTGCTGTGTGTATGTAACCAGGTGAAAAGCAAAACTCTGAAAAGGTGTTGGTGAAACCCTGCCTTATGTCTTGTTTGAAGAAGGTCAGTTCGATGAAGAAGAAATTTTTGAAGGATTTCATGTGTGAAAAAACAAGCAAATGAAAATTGTGTGTGAAGAAATCATGGAATTGATTGACTGTGCAAGTGCTGTACATCTAGTTGAAAAGAAAATTCCAGAGATGACCTTAATGAATAGCTGAATGTTGATGAGGATACCCCTGTTACAATGGCATTAAATACAGAAGAAATTATGCAGTATTTTTAATGGTGACAAACCTAAACTTCAAGAAGAGGAAGTGATCACTGGGGAAGCATGTTAAAAGAGTGTACTGTATTGGGTTTCTTTAATGATGTTTCTTATGCAAGTGGCAGATTCATGTAACTGGCACCACCATGCCCCATATATGCCAAAAATGAGGAGTTTACTGTACATTGAAAAAATTGCATTAAGGTAGCAGCTTTGATGACAAGAGGATCTCCCAAAGAGTTGATAACGATCAGGCTGGGAGGGTGAATAGTTGTTAATGGGGACTCTTCGTGCCTAACAACACTAACAACAGGTAGTGTGTAACGGCAGGGTATGTGGTAACAAGGCATGGTTGTGGGGTAGGGCGCTGGGACATGGGAGAGTTTAGACCCTAAAATTATTGAACTTGACATTGAATCCGAAGGGCTGCAGGGTCCCCAAGCAGAAAATGAGGTGTTGTTCTTCCAGCTTGTGTTGAGCTTAGCTAGAACACTGCAGCAAGCCAGAGACAGGCCTGTTGGCCAGGGAATATGGTGGTGCATTAAAATGGCAATCTTATCAACTCCTTTGTCTGTCCAACTGCTCTTTCTCTCTCTTGAGGCTCTATCCTCTCGTTTACTCCCTACCCCATCACCCTCCCCTATTTTCTGCATATAAACTTACGTTTTCCCAGCCACCATCAGTTCTGAGAAAGGGTCACCGGACCCGAAACGTTAACTATGTTTTTTCCTTCACAGATGCTGCCAGACCTGCTGAGGTTTTCCAGCTACTTTGTTTTCATTCCTGATTTACAGCATCCGCAGTTCTTTCGGTTTTTATATTGTATCATGATTTGTTTGTATTACAATGAGTACTCATAGGGCCTTGTTTTGAAAGAGTGATTCACCATTAGATAATGTGTTTGGTAGGTTATCGTATCTGACATCTGGATAACTTTCTGGGCAATAGAACTTCATTGTGAAATTAGGCTAGAGTGTAATTTCACTGGATTTCATTCTGTATCACACAAAAGTGAAATTCATACTTAACTGAAGTGTTCTTTTTACTTTCACGTTTACCTTAAAAGTTCAGCTTAGCCATCTGTTTGACTGTTTCAAAACCTTAACAGATGGCTGATCTTCTGGTTTTCTTCAAAGACTTTTGTGTGTTTAGCAGAAGAGGTTTTGTTGACACAGTGCTTAATGAAGGTTCGTTATAAATGTCTGGTTGAGCTCCAAATTCAGTAATAGTTTCTATTCAACAGGAGTTGTTGACACAGCCATCAATGGGAATATGTGCAGGGTTAATTGCAGATTTATGTTTTGTTAAGAAGTTTTCTTTTTTTAAAAAAAGAATACTGTTTGTTTAATTTGGGAGACCTATCAACTTTTCAAAGTTTTCCCAATGTTATTATAGTAGTTGTGAGTTCTATATATTGGTGATACAGTACATGAAGAGGGCATGGAGGGGTCCAGGAGCAACATGAGGAGCATGGGCACAGTGAGGGCATGAGGCAAGGGTTTAGGAGGTGAAGGTTAGAGCATCTGTCCTTCATGTCCAGGACTGGCCCAAAAATGGGCCTTTAATTGCCCACTTACTCTGAGCCATGAGCTTGCTGCAAGAGGCAGAAAGCTGATTCCAGTCTCTTTCCAAATCTCCACCATGAAAATAGTTTGGTGGGCACTGCTGGTTAAGAGGCAGGAATCACATGACTCTCAATTCCAAGATGAAGGTCAATACCAATTAGAAAGATTGTGTGTCTAGGGTATTGGTGAGGACAGGGTTGGGTTCAGTTGTTGCACCCTGAATGCAAATATCCAGCCAATATTCCCCATCTGAGCTCAGACAATAAAGACCAGTCATGTGGCAGAGCATTTCCAGAGCCTATGATCGTACTGTCATCAGAATGTTTCAGCAAAAAGAGAAAGGTGAGAAAAAAGGGAGTAAACAAATGAAGAAACACTTGGAATTTATGCAGGGCTTCTTTGATTTCTTCTTATAAGTTTGACAAAGCCGTCACTGATGTTATAGTTGGAGTCCTCAAGGACAAGGAAAAATCTCCATCCTAACCTAAGATACTTACTTGTAGACCCGAGATTGGTACAACATTGTGTCTTTAAAGATGACACTTTTACAGGTACATTCAAAGTCACTGTAATCCGCCATGGCACTGATCTTCAACTCTAGCTCCCGAGAGCTGTCTTCCAAAACCACGTGGGCAGGTTCAGGTTCCACCTCTACTACCTGGAAAGTACACAATAACAAAATCGGTTCATTTAGTGACATGTTTTAGCTACATGTGTTAATATGTTTTACAATCTGAGAAATTGAGTGCAAACACATTCACAAATTTTGCCAACAATGCAATTTCAACTCCTATTATATACCCCTTCAAAAACAAGAGCAATACAAACCAGTTGCTTGTGAATTCCTAAGTGCCCACTATATTTCAAAAGCAAGGAGCCTTGCCTGCTGGTGTAAAGTGCACTGTCCATTCTGTATGAAAACTGCGGGTGAAATTTCACAGGCAACAAGACTGAATGTGGTGCCAATTTTGCACTACCTTGTGAAGACTGAACAGCAAAGCCAGAAGACATGTACACACATCATATCATTGCATCATGGAGAGCTTTTCTACAAATGGCTGTTCAGCCACAGACAATAAGTTTGTTTGATAGGAAATTTGAGAAGTATTTGAAGAATTAAATTTAAACACAAAAAGTCATCTTTAGAAATCAAAGCGCAATAATTAACCGCCATACAGTTGCTCCACACAGTATCGATGGGTTTCCTTTCTGCTGGAAATTCCATGCTACTATAAAGCCTGAGGATATTAGGTGAGGAATGTGCTGAAACTCTAACAAAATGAACTGTTGTTGAGTGGGTACCAAATGTCACTGCTTGATTGAATAATGCAGTCCAGGTAAAGAAGTGAAATGCATCATGCGGGAGAAGAAAGGATGTGGAAATCAGTGAATAGAGATTTTGGGACACAGGCTATATAAAGGAAGGAGTTCTGTATCATCTGATAAGTAAGTTTGCAGATGACACAAAGATTGGCCGCGTGGTTGACAGTGAGGAGGAAGGTCTTAGGTTACAGGAGGACATAAACAGATTGGTCAGATGGACAGATCAGTGGCAGGTATAATTTAACCCTGGTAAATGTGAAGGGATGTAATTTAGAAGAAGGAATGAGACAAGGGTGTACTCAGTGAATGACAGGACACTAGGAAGCTCAGTGGAACAGAGGGATCTTGGGATGTTTGTCGACAGATCCCTGAAGGTTACAGATACAGGTTAATAGGGTAGTTAAGAAAGCATATGGGATGCTTGCCTTTATCGGTGGCAGCAGAGATTATAAAGGCAAAGGAGCTGTACAGAACTTTAGTTAGGTCACAGCTGGAGTACTCTGTGCAATTATGGGCACCACACCATAGCGATGTGATTGCACCGAAGGTGGTGCAGAGGAGATTCACCAGGATGTTGCCTGGGATGGAGAATTTCAGCGATGAAGCAAGGTTGGATAAGCTCAGGTTGTTTTCTTTGGAGCAGAAAAGCTTGAGGGGGGACCTGGTAGAGTTGTATAAGATTATGCGGGGCACAGACAGGGTGAATAGAAAGCAACTGTTTCCCAAGTTGAAGGGTCAATAACAAGGGGACAGCATTTTAAAGGCAGGAGTTAAAATGGGCTTTGAGGAAATCATTTTCACCCAAAGGGCAGTGGGAGTCTGGAATTAACTGCCAGGGAGTGTGGCTGAGGTAGTAAACTTCACAGCCTTTAAAAAGTACACGGAAGAGCATGGAACACGGAATGCTATAACATTCAAGGCTATGGGCCAAGTGCAAGAACGTGGCACTATTGTAGATAGCAATACATTTTTGGCAGTACAAAGTTGATGGGCTGAATGGCCTCTTCTGTACTGTATGATTTTCTAATTCTGTAATTCGAATTCCTCAGGTTCTGTTAGGGAAGGTAGTAGAGTAGGAGTCTTGTTTGATTTTTGTTGCAGCATTGGAGAAATAAGTGAGGTGATACAGCAGAAATTGCTTTTGCTTTTCTATATTAGGTTGTCGTTTATTGGAACATTTCTGATAAACTCACTGGTGGCTTTTTGTGTGTTTTCCTACTCACCAAGCACCTTTGTCGCCAATTATCTTCCTTAACACTCTTTCAAGTTTCAGGTCACCTCCCAGCTTTTTCTATGAGTAAAGAACCCATTCAGTCTTTCCTGAGTAAGAACCTTTCAGTGTGGTTTGATCCTTTTAGATATTGATTGCACTACTAACATTTTTGTAATATATATTCCAAACACTCCAGTATTTTACCAGACTTGCGACTAAAGATGTACGTTGGGACACTGTGGAATTCTTGATGTGTGGACCTATGTGGAGATTTCTCAGGAATTTTAAACTTCCATTGAGCAATTCACAGGTCCCCTTCCCCATCTCATGAAAGTCTGAGCAAGGGATCTACGGTACTTACCTAGGAAGTGAACTATGATGCTTCAGATAAAATAAAATATGGTCTAATATGAAGGTAACTCAAATCCCTCTGAACTGCTTCTGAAGAAGGGTAACTGGACATGAGACATTAACTCTGTTTTCTCTCCACAGATGCTGCCGAACCTGCTGGGTTTCTCCAGCAATTGCTGTTTTTGTTTATTAGTAACTCACCTTCTTCTTAGCTGGTCGAACTCCATGCCCAGCATTTACCCACTTCACAACACTCAGGCGACTGTCCCAATCTGGAACCTGGTCGGAGGGCACTGGGTAGCTGATTTTTGACACTATGCATTTTATTGTGTGTTGGTTGTATGTCACAGGTAGATCTGATTTAAATGTTGCTGTCATATCCTTTGCACATCCGGCATGCAAATGACCAAACTGTTCAGAAAAATAAAATCATCATAAAACACAGGTTAAAACATATTTGGATATGAAGAATTCTTAGCAATGAAGCTTGTTTGCAATAACAAGTAGGGTCCTGACCCGAAACGTTAACTTTCCTGCTCCTCTGACGCTGCCTGGCCTGCTGTGTTCCACCAGCTCCACACTGTGTTATCTCTGACTCCAGCATCTGCAGTTCTTGCTATCTCCTTGCAATAGCTTTAGCAAGTTTGATGCATTTCTGAAGCCAGTGCGAAACCTGCCAGGGTCATCAAGTTGTGAACCGTGGGGAAGCTTATCGTAAAGATAGAAAGTTTAAAAGCTCTTGTCAACTTCAGAGGTTACAAATTAATTAAGTTCATCATTAATATAGCGATTGGTCATAGGGCTTTGCCTTGAAAGATAAGCAAACACTAAATAATTCAGAACGGCCTGTTCTGAAGAAGGGTCACTGGATCTAAAATTAACTCTGATTTGTCTCCACTGATGATGCCAGACCGGCTGAGTTTCTGCTGCAGTTTTTATTTCTGTTGTGAATAGTTATATGTTTGATTGACAGTTCAATGAGCTTCTAAGAGGAGCTTTTTTTAAAAAAGATGAGCTTTCATTTTTTTACTCCATTATCATTTCAAAGGCTCATACTGTTAATATAGAGCTATCTACATAAAAAGTACTATGTGAGTGCTCATGGAAGGTGCATAGGGGCATGATGGACAGACAAATGTGGTGGGGGACAAAGGGCTATGGAGGGAGTATGAGAGAAATGAAGTGGTTTGGAGAAGTTGTGGGGATACAGTGAGGACACTAAAGACATGAAGGGCTAGACAAAATAATGTAGGCATCGGATATATGAGGGGGCAAAAAAGGCATAAGTCTAAGGAGGAGATGTGGGGCATGGGAGGTGTGAGATATGAGGAGGTTTGGGAAACTTGTAAGGAGCTTGGGAAATATGATATGAGTGTATATGGGGATAGGGGCTGAGGAATAGGAGCGTAATAGACATGCACAGTATGTGATCAATGGCACAATGAATTGAGAGACAGGCTTCTAACCTAGCAGCCTTGTCAGCTATTTGCCACAGTTTTTATTTAATATTCATTTTAGGGATGTGGGCATCGCTGGCTGGGTGAGCATTTATTGCCAATTTCTAGTTTCCCTTGACAAGGTGGTGGTGACCTGCCTTCCTTAATTGCAATCCATATGCTGTAAGTTGACCCACAATGTCACTAGGGAGGGAGCGCCAGGATTTTGAGTAATTTCCAAGTCAGGATGGTGATTGGCTTGGAGAGAAACCTAATGTCCTTGACCTTCTTTATGGCATTGGTCATCTGTTTGGAGAACGCATCTAAGGGCACTTGGTGAATTTTGTGGTTTAAGTTCCTACTTCAGGCATACATTGGAAGGTTGTGGCTATATTTTCAGCCCTTCTACGAATGCCACTAGGTTGAAAATCACATGCACTTGCAGACTGATCAAAAACTAGGGAACATGGCACAAAACTAGGTCGGGGGGGGAGGTGAACTGTGAGGACTGTGCAGAGATGTTTCAGCATGATTTGGACAAGTTGAGTCAATGGGCAAATGCATGGCAGATGAAATAATAATGTGGATAAATGAGAGGTATCCACTTTTGTAGCAAAAAACAGGAAAGCAGATTATCTGAGCAGCAATAAATTGGGAAAGTGAGAAGTACAATGAGATCTCGGCATCCTTATATACCAGTCGCTGAAAGTGAGCATACAGGTCAGCTGGCAGTAAAGAAGGCAAACAGTATGTTGGCCTTCATAGCGAGAGGATTCAAGTATTTGGACATGACTAGTTCCAACTGTGCAGGGCCTTGATGAGACCACACCTAGAGTATTGTTTGTAGTTTTGGTCTCCTTATGTGAGGTTCTGGTGATGTAGGGAGTGCAACAGACTGATTCCTGGCATGGCAGGACTGATGTATGAAGACAGACTGGATTGGTTAGAACTATTTTTACTGGAGTTTAGAAATTTGAGGGGTCATCTCATAGAAAGCTATAAAATTCTAACAGGACTAGACAGAGGAAACACAATAAGGATGTTCTCAATGACTGGGGAATCCAGAACCAGGGGTCACAGTCTAAGGATATGGTTTTAGGCTGTTTAGGACTGAGATGCAAAGGTATACAAGGCTGTGAATCTGGAAAATGGGGTTAGAGTAGTAAGGTGGTCGTTTTCACTGATGCAGTTGCTGACGAGCTTTGTTCCGTATTGTAGACCTCTATGTCTATGCCTGTATGAGGAGAACACTGAAAGCCCACAAGGATGCGTCCTCAGTCCCCTACTGTACTCAGTGTACCCTATGACTGTGTTGCCAAATTCCAAATGAATGCCACCTACAAGTTTGCTAATGACACCACTGTAGTGGGACAGATATCTAACAACCATGAATCAAAATAGAGGAGGGAAATAGAGAGCTTGGTGACATGGTGCAATGAAAACAATCTGTCTCTCAACGTCAGCAAAACTAAAGAACTGATCATCAACTTCAGAAAGAAAGGAAGAGAATACGTTCCCATCTACATCAACGGAACTGAGGTTGAGAGTGAACAGCATCAAGTTCCTCGGAGTGACAATAACCGACAACCTGTCCTGGACTTCCCATGCAAATGTGACAATCTAGAAGGCACAGCAACGCCTCTTCTTTCTTAGGCAGCTCAGGAAATTTGGCATGTCCATAAGGCCCCTCACCAACTTCTACAGATGCATCATTGAAAGCATACTGTCTGGGTATATAATGGCCTGGTATGGCAACTGCTCTGCCCAGGACCGTAAGAAACTACAGAAGGTGGTGTGCACAGCCCAGACCACCACAGAAGCCAACCTTCCATCCATGGACTCTACTTACACGGCTCACTGCTGCGGAAAGGCTACCAACATCAAAGACCGATCGCACCCCAGTAATGATCTCCTACAACATCTTCCGCCAGGCAGTAGATACAGAAGCGTGAACACATGCACAAGCAGGTTCGGGAACAGCTTCTTTCTGGCTGTTAACAGACTGTCGAATGCACTCTAGCCTCAAATAGTGTAACCTGCAATGTAACCTGTATGCCTCTAAGTCTTTTTGATTTTTCCATTCTTTGCTTGCTGTGATCTGCTTGTACTGCTCGTAAACAAAGCTTTTCACTGTATTTTGGTACACGTGATAATAAAAATCAATCAAACTGCATTCCTTCATTTAGCACCTCCCCTCAACTCGTAGCGTGGAATAAATAATTGAATGGCAAGATGTCATATCGTTAGGTTATAGCTGGTATCAGTGTTAATCATAGAATTTTACAGTACAGAAGGAAGCCATTCTACCCAATGTGTCTATACCAGCTCCAGAAAGAGCTACCCATCTAGTCCCATTTCTAACCTTACCTCTGTAGTCCTCTAAATTCATCCCTTTCAAATAAATATCTAGCTCTTTTGAAACCGCCTATGGAATCCACTACCACCACTCACCTAGGCAGCCCATTCCAAATCCTAACAACTGTCTGAGTAACGAAGTGTGGAACTGGAGGAATACAGCAGGCCAGGCAGCATCAGCGGAACAGGAAAGCTGATGTTTCAGGTCAGGACCCTTCTCAGTAAGATGTTTCTCCTCATCTCACTAGCTAACAATTTTGAAATTGTGACCCCTAGTTACTAACATAGTGATAACACAGTATCCTTCCTTACCCTGTCAAAATTGTTCATAATTTTGAACACCTCAGTAAGGTCACCTCTTAATCTCCTGTGCTCCAAACCAAATTTCTCTCAACATTCCTCATGTCTAAAATCCCTTGTTCCTGGTGTCATTCCAATAATCTCCTTTGCACTCTCCCCACGACTTTAATATCCCTCCTTAAATAAGGAGCTCAGAATTTAACACAATATTCCAAATATAGTCTGACCAATGATTTACAGAGATGTAACATCACTTCCTTGCTTTTATATTCTATGCCTCTATTGATAAACCCAAGGATGCTATAACCTGAACAACTGTTTCAACTTGCCTGGCCACCTTCAGACATTTATGCACTTGAACCCCAAGGTCCCTCTACTATTGTACTTCTCTCAAAATTGTATCATTGAGCCTGTATTGTCTCTCTGTGTTTCTTCTACCAAAATGTATCACCTCACATTTCACTGCATTGAAATTTATCTGACAGGGGTCTGCTCATTTTGCCAACATGGTAATATCTCACTGAAGTCACTCAATCATCCTCAAAATTCACTATTCTCCCTAGCTTAGTATCATCTGCAAATTTAGAGATTTTGACCTCAACACACATCTCCAAATTGTCTGTATAAATCAAAAAAAAAGCAAGGGTCCAAAACAGATTCCTGGGGAACACCACTTCCAACTTGACTCCAGTCTGAGAAATGCCCATCTATACCTACTCTCTGTTTCCTATCCTTTGTCCAACTTTTAATCCATGCTGCCAAGGACACATCAAATCCCAAACATTTCTAATTTGCTAACCAATCTTCAATGTGACACCAAATCAAATGCTTTCTGAAAACCAAATATACTATATCCACAGCAATAAATTCATTGCCTGTGTCACCTCATAAGATGATTCAATTAAATTTGTCCCACATGACCTACCCTTGATAAAGCCATGTTGAGTGTCTAGTATTAACTTATCTTTCTCTAAGTGTATATCTATCTTATCCTGTATTATGGCCTCAATCAGTTTTTCTACTATTGATGTCAAGTTGACAAGTCTGTGTTTCCTGGGTTAAGTCAGAAGTCACACAACAGCGCTGCTAAAGGGGCGTACTCTGAAAGCTTGTGATTTCAAATAAACCTGTTGGACTATAACGTGGTGTTGTGTGACTTCTGACATTGTCCACCCCAGTCCAACACCGGCACCTCCACATCATTTCCTGAGTTAGGCTTTGCCCCTTTTTAAGGAAAATCCCATCATCTATGCAATCCTTCAGTCCCCCTGGACTAATCCTGTGTTCAGAGAGGCCTGGAAAATTTGTTAATGGCTGCACGATTTGCTCCCGTACCTCTCTCAGCAAACTTGGATGCATCTCATCTGGGCCTGGTGACTTTTCTGCCTGGAGTGCTGCCAGTCTTTTTAGCACCTCTTCTTTATCTATCCCTATACTGCTCAGTTGCTCAGAATCCAAATTTTCAACCGGCCCCTTGTCACTATTTTCTAATTTGATAAAGACAGAAGCTGAAATAACTCCACAGTCACCAAGTGACCCTTTATTTGCATGAGTCCTCCATACTGATCCAGCTCCTTCAGAGCCAGCTGTCAGAGTTATCAGAACCTGTGGCACTCCTGTTTATATCAGTCAGCCAGGGCTCCCTGATTGGACCAGATTAACGGCCCCAATCGGGGAAATAATATTCTGTGAGGTCTACCTGGCTGATCTCATTGCAATCACTACAGAAGCAAAGTACTTAGTGCCACTGCCAAACCCTTTGCTTCTGTGAGCAGCTTGCCCTGCTCATTCCTTATGGGCCCACTCTATCCTTCGTGAATCATTTTACTATTAGTATGTTTGAAGAACATTTTACAATTTGTTTTATCGCAGCCTGCCTTCCTTTCTTCATGCTTCCTCTGAGCCTTCCTTAGTCCGGCCTAGGCCTCTCTCCTACATTTGAGATACTCTTCCTGATTTCTAGTGCTGTTATTATTATGGTATGAGGAATAATGGGGCAGTGATTTGGGTGGGGGGGGGGGGGGGGGGGGGGTGTTCTTTCAATTACCTGTGGAGAGATGTTGAACTCGCTGATGTCTGAAATCCATTCAAATCGTATGATGTCTGCTGCACTTCGATTGGTCATTGTGAAGGTCACCAGATATGGCTTGCCAATATGGCAATCTCCAAATTCAATATGCTCCAAATGTGTGGCTGGAATGGAAAACCATTAAAACAGCTATATGTCTTCCTTTATCCTACAACCACACTGCTGAGAGCCACACATGTTAGAGACATTCACAAAGACAAGGCAGACTTACCTGAATTATTGGGTCAATAATTAGGCAGCTCTTGGCACAAGGTTGAATTCAGCTGTTTAAACTGAAATGTGTTAACCAAGATATGATAATGCACTGATGTGTCAGCATTGATTATAGTTCAACTCTCTGACAGGGAAGTAAAAGTAAGTCACTGAGGCACGGATGACATGTAAAGCACAACTATAATCAAAAGCGGGTGAATAAGATTAAGGTAGATTTTATCACGTCCTAGAAAGTCAGTGGATGAGGGCTCCTTGGCAGACAGGGCATATCATAATTAAGGACTTCAAATGGACTACTGTTAGGCAGCATTTCTGCTGCATTCTCCACCGTCTGTATTGTAAAATCATGGGGTCTTCATCATCAATGGCATGTTGCCCTAGTTTACTAATCTACCTCCTTGCTTTCCGGCTTGATGGAAGCTGTAAAAGGATTCTAAAATCAGGCTGCAGTGCCAGAGAAAGAGGAAGACTTTTCTGTTCAGGCCAGGCAGCAATGAGGATTGTGGTCTGGGTTCTCTCATGTCATTTATTAAGGCCAATTCACTTCTTCGCTTTGACAATGGCCCTTTCTGGACCAAATTGTGGGAAGCATGCTCAATATATACGTTAACTACATGACCTTCCTTGATCCTACCCTTACACATTTAAAACGATCTAAGGAATACGGATGTCCAGTGAAACAACTTCTGACAAGGGCTCAGGACAGCTCACACTCAAAGTGAGCAAATGAACTGCAATTTTAGGAAAGTATGCATGGCAGCTATATTAAAATCCATGGAGCCCATGAATCTGGAAATCCATTAAGCAACATCTTTGCTGCTTATGTAACCACCAGATCAAATTCCATCCAAGGAACAGGGAACAATATGGATGAACAGATCAACTGTGCAATGTCAGGGTAATTTGGGTACTGAGTTCAACAGTGCTCTTTAATGCTCAGACTGCATTAGGATCCAAGATCCAGTGCACATCTCCTGAAGCTTGACACACTTATGATCAGGAAAGTATGATGGTCGTACACAGGTCAGTCTGTACCTCACTGTTAAAAGACTTTGTTTTCTATCCTGTGGCAAAGTATTCCAAATCACACTTTAGCTCGGATGAATTTGGATTGCTGATAGAAGTGAGGTTTTAAAGTGGACAAAGAAAATCTATTTGGAAAGGGTGAAGAAAATCTATTTGGAAAGGGTGAAAAAAATCATCACGTGCAGAAGTGCAATTTTCTGATGATGAGCTTTTGGGAATTTGATGTCCATTGAATCCTACAAAACTAAAGTTATACTGGCACCTGCAAAAGCGTACTCGGAAATCCCAACTTTTTTCACTTGGTTTGTGGGGAGTAAGCGTCACTGGCAAGGCCAACATTTACTATCTATTTGCAGTTGCCTTTGAGCCTTCTTCTTGGATCTCTGCAGCCCATCTGTCAGTGTTAGAAAGTCAGGGCTGTTTCAGGATAAACCAGAAAGTACTTTCTAGCCAAGCTGTTTGGAGATGTCAGAAAACATCTCTGGAGTAAGAGAGACTTGAACACGCTCTCAAGGGTAAACCAGAACAGTTCCGGAGTTGATTGAGACCAGATAATGGTAATTGGATGTGTGGCACCATGGTAGTGTCCCTATCTCTGAACCAGGAGGCATGGGTTCAAGTTCTATCTATTCCAGAATCTTGCAAAATATCTCTGAACAGGTTAAGTTAAACAAAAGAGCTGGGCTCACTGTGGAGTCTGTGGATCATGTATATATTGGTTATGGGTAGTTGCACCCCCACCCCACCCCCCCCATTTGATTATTTAAATAATCTTTTCTTATTCTTTTGGTTTCACTTTAGCTCCCCCAACTCCTGATGTTGGGGGTAGACCAGTCAGAGGACTGCATTATGGGCTACTCCTAGGCTTGGTTAATGCGGTCATCAACAGTTTCAGGCTGCAGGCCATGGAGGAGGTCATAGTTCTCAACTGCTTGTCCCTATTTCAGTGTTTACATCCATGCCCGTGTATCCCTGGAGAAAGGACTAACTATGTCCATTAGCACCAGTCAAAGCTTTCAAAGCGCACGGGCTGGGGTACATTATGTCCAACAGGAATTCCATTTTGATTTAGTCCCCTCCATCTTTTCCCAACTTTCCTTTTATGTTATCGCTGCACTGCCCTGGAGGGGAGTGATTGTAACTTATTTATTTGGTTGATACAGTGGTTGAAAAGAGCTAGGTTCTTTCCCCGATGAAATAACTCCACAGAGGCCGGTATCCTGTCACCAAGTCACCCTTTACTTATACATGACAGTCCTTGACTTTAGTACTGCCTCTTCAGAGCCAGATATCAGAGTACCAGAATCTCTAATGCTCCTCTTTTTACATGTCAGCTAGGGCTCCCTGACTGGACCAGATTAACAGGGAGCTCATATTCTATGATGTCCAGCTGGCTAACCTTGTTACAATCACTACACCCACCTTTCTGATTTTTATTAGTGTCACAATGCCACTGTAGGTAGTCAAAGTCAGAAATCAATGATACCAGGTTATAGTCCAACAGGTTTATTTAAAATCACAAGCTTTCGGAGCACTGTTCCATCACTGGGTGAAGTCAATTTATTAATTATTGACTAAGTGATTAGATAAATTAATGGTAGGTTTATTAAAATAAAAAAAGTTGGGTTCTTCCCTAATGGGGTATGGTCTTCTGGATAGGAAAAGGGTCCAAAAGGGAAAAGTAGAAACTGGTACTTGTGCTAAACTATACGTTTACAATAAAGCACTTGTAAATCTTCAAAAATCTTTTGCTGCCTAATTCAACAGAAGGATATTGGTCTGTAAAACAGGTATATTCATATTAGGGAGGAAGTTCTAGGCTTTTGACCTAGAACTTGTTTTGTGAAGGAACAGTGATTATTTCCAAATTAGAATGGTGAGTGGTGTGGAGGAGAACTTGCAGGTAGTAGTGTTCCTACATATCTACTGCATATCCTTCTATCCAGTGGAGCTCATGGAATTGGATGGAGCAGTCAAAGGAGTCTTGTTGCTGCAGTACAGGTCATAGATGCTACCAGTGTGTACCAGCAGTGAGGTGACTAAATATTTAAAGTATTGAATAGGGTGCCAATCAAGAAGGTTGTTTTGCCCTTTCAAGGATGGTGTCAAGCTTTTTGAAAATTGTTGAAGCTAAAGGCAAGTGAGATTATTCAATCAAATTTCAGGAACTTTAAATGCTTGTGTTAACATCCACTTCAAAGTCAGGTTGGTGATTTTGGTACACCACAAAAATGGAGCAGAACAGCAATCTCACAGAGTGATTTTGTATTAAGTAACCAGTGACTGGTATTCTGAGGAATAAATTTAATCAAACTCCGTAGAATATTGCTGTAATGAAATACTAGTGAAATCACTGACGTATTCAATAAAAGTCAATGTAATGATGTGGTGTTCAATTCATATGAATAGGATGGTTCATCTGGGAAGCTAAACCACAACCACGTCCCAACAATTCAGGTGGACCAATTGCACAGGAATGAGTAGAATATAGAGACACTTAGAAGAAGATAGGGCTCTAACAGTCTTTGTTCATACAATCTCTGAAAGTAGCACAACATGTAGATAAGGTGTTTAAGAAGACATTGAGATTGCTTCCTTTTATTGGCTGATTCATAGGATACCTGAGCAGGGAGAAAATACTAGCTATATCCCAGCTACAGGACGGTGTACAATCTGTCCCCAGCACGACAGGCAGTATCTGATTATACAAGAAACGTTACAGAGGAGATTTCCAATGATGTTGGCAGGAATGGAGAAATTTTGCTGCAAGGAAAAGCCAGATAAGTTGGGGGGTGGGGATTTACTTTAGATCCAAGTGTCTGAAGAGAAATTTAATTGAGGTAAATAAAATATTGAGGAATTTGCAAAGAGCGAATAGGAAGGATTCCATTTCATAGAATCCCTACAGTGTGGAAGCAGGCCATTTGGCCCACTGAGTCCACACTGACCCTCTGAAGAGCATCCCATCCAGACCCAACCCCTACCCTATCCTTAAACACTATGGACAATTTAGCACAGCCAACCTAACCTGAATGTGGGAAGAAACCGGAGCACCTGGAGGAGACCCATGCAGACATGGGGAGAATGTGCAAACGTCACACAGACAGTTGCCTGACGCTGGAATCGAACCCGGGTCCCTGATGCCATGAGGCTGCAGTGCTAACCACTGAGCCACCCCATTATAGGGGAAACATGATCAAGCAGCACCCCGAGATGACAAGCTCTGTCCCAATATAAATCAGGAGCGGTATACTGCCGCCAAACACCATGAGCCTGACCTTTCCTTAGCTGAAAATCAATAACTGGGGCCATGGAATTACTGTAATTGACAAAAGGATTAGAGGAAAGTTGAAGATAAATATTTTCACCCAGAGGATGGTGGGATCTATAACTCATTGCCTAGAAGGGTGGTAAAGACAGAAAGGTTAAAAAATATTTGGATATGCATTGAACTGGCTACTCCAGATATGATGGACCGAGTGACCTCCTTTGGTGCTCTACATTTCCATGATTTGCGTCTCGAATTCACACCTTCCAATGCAACAAAATTGCACATAGTCCTCACCTTTAATGTCTTTCTCCTCCAGAAGGTTTGTAAAGCTTTCCACCGAGCTAGTTTGTCCGAGTCCATGGATGTTGTCAAATGTGATATCGTCCTGAAAACCTTCACCAATTAATCGTATAATGGTGTCCTCGAACTGGTTGTTGAGCACTGTCAAGTACAGTGCTCCATCAAGGCGTTGAGCTAGGGTTGGTTGGAAGGAGACATCAAACTTTGCCTCCTCTCCACTGTTGAGCTTGATAGTGAGCATGCAACTTTCCTTTACTGTGTGTAAGATAAAATAAAGTGTAGTTTTACTTTGATAACCATTTTAAAAGTAATACAAAATTATCCATTGAAATTTGAACTAATAAAATGGGGAGAATCATACAGTCACAGAGTCCTACAGCATGGAAACAGTCCAACTTGTCCGCCCCGACCAGACATCTCAATCTGCCTAGTCCCATTTGCCAGAATTTGCTCCATATCCCTTTAAACCTTCCAATTCATGTATCCATTTAAATGTTGTGATTGTATTCCTCTGGCAGCTTGTCCATACACGCATCACCCTCTGTGTGAAAACGTTACTCCTCAAGTCCTTTTTAAATCTTTCCCTGTCATCTTAAACCTATGCCCTCTAGTTTTGGACTCAAAAACATGTTGGCTATTCACCCTATCCATGTCTCTCATGATTTTATAAACGTCTATAAGGTCTCCCTTCAGCCTCCAACACTCCAGCAAAAAAAGCCTCAGTCTATTTAGACTTGACCTATAACTCAAATCCTCCAGTCCCAGCAACATTCTTGTAAATCTTTTCTGCACCCTCTCAAGTTTAAGAACATCTTTCTTATAGAAGGGCGACCAGAATATTTGCAGTATTTTAAAAGCGGCCTCACTAACATCCTGTACAGCCACAACATAACATCCCAATTCCTATACTCAATGTTTTGGTGTTTGGGACATTGTCTGTACAGTAAGATTTTTTTACCTTGCGTGTAAGGTGTGATGTGAGTAACTGTGAAACAGCTCTTCCAGTTTTGGTACTGGCCCCCAGATGTTAGTGAGGAGGACTTTACAGGGTTGATGGGGCTGTTTCTGTTACTCTTTTCTGGTGCCTAGGTTGATGTCATGCAATTTGTCCAGTTTCATTTCTTCGAGACTTTGGAGCGATTGGCAGAACTGAGTGGCTTGCTAGGCCATTTCAAAGAGGAGTTGAGAGTCAACCATATTGCTGTGGGTCTGGAGTCACATGTAGGCCAGACCAGGTGAGGATAGCAGGTTTTCTTCCCTGAAGGGCATTAGTGAAACAGATGGGTTTTTTTCTAACAACTGATAATGGTTTCATGATCATCAGTAGATTCTTAATTCCAGGTTTCTTTTCAATTGAATTCAAAATCCATGATGGATTTGAACCCAGGTTCCCAGGACAGTAGCTGAGTTTCTGTATTAATAGTCGAGTGGTAATATCACTAAGCCATCGCCTTCCCCTTAATGCATACTTAGTAAGACTTCTTGCAATGCCAGCATATCCAGCAGGAGAGGGATCCCTGGGCTGGCATCATAATTTGTTTGTTCAATTTTATTGCTCAGTGAGGAAATTGGTGAAGAAATCTCAGCAGAAATGCAAAATTTTATTTCTACCTAAGTGTCCTTGCTGTGGAGCGAAGGGTTATGTTTGACACTAGCATTCACATTTCAGACCAGTACTTGTACATGAGAATGAGAATGACTAAATGAATAAATAACAACAAACAGCTTCAACCCATCCCAAACAGAATCCTCCGCTGACTTGACCACCATCCATCCCTGACCCGAACAACATCAATTACATATCTGTCCCAACTATATCAAACACCCTTATCCATTATAGATTAACTTAACATTCATGTCATGTCTAAATTTAACCAATTAACTTAACATTCGTGCCATGCCTAAATTGAACCAATCTAAATTTATAATCTGCATATTTCAATTAATCTGGCTTGTTCTGTTCCCTATGTAAAAAAGTATTGCCCCTGTAAGCAGCTCACTTTCTGTTTGTTACCTTTTTCCGGATTCTGTTCTCGAATATAGTGGCGTTTAGGATAGACACATACGGTTCCAATACATTCCTTCAGAGAAAACACTCCATAGTCATCAGAGATATTGACAGACACCTATCAAGAGAAAACACAAAGTTGATAGATTAATTGTGTTAAGGTAAGTGATTGACAAACTCTGATATGAATGTATTTGCGATTGTTAAATTGCTCTTCCTTCAAATTAACCCATAGGCACCAATGGACTTATTTTTGACAGAGGAAATAATATGGATACACATTTCAGAAAGCAATGAGGAAACTAATATGAGGTCATTCTCGCTCTTGTTGTCTTGTAGAAGAATTACACTCTGTGATAATTCCCAAAATATTTTTATCTTAAGTACAAATGTACAACGCCAGATATGTTCAATTTCAAGGGCAGATTCCATCAAGGGAAGAGGAATACAAATGACAGGTTAATAATCTAATTTACTTCCTTATCCAGTTTTGCCAACATCCATTTATATGTAATCGACTGTCCATGAGGAATTGGGCCCTCAGGACATCGCTGAAAAAAAAGTATGCAGTCGTTGGCTGAAAATTCTAAAAACTGTTGTTTAGTAACTCAAACAAGCAGTAAAAATGCCTGATGGCTCACTTTCTAAAGCCTCAGCAATCTCTCTGGTTAACACTTTGGTGATCTATACGCATGGAGTCATAGAGATCTACAGAACAGAAAAAAGGTCCTTTGACCTATTGTGTCTGAGCCAGTCAAAAACAACCATAACTAACCATGCATTTTGACTCTGCGTGAAAAGGATTGGAAATATATTGTAGAAGCAAAAGCACAATCCTCCCTGACAAGTTTTCCATACCCTATTAAATCGACTCATTCTTTCAGAAGAAATAAACAGATTCAATCCCTCAATTTAATTCCCACTGGTATGTGCCACTAATTTTCAGATACGGCAGAAATCAAGGGTGTTAACTGTATATCAACAATAACAGACACTGACTTGTGTTCACCCTGTGGCTCAGTGATGGTGCCCCTTTCCTAAACCGGTTGGACTATAATCTGGTGTCGTGTGATTTTTGACCTGAACCAAAAAGTCTAGGCTCAAAACCCACTTCAAAATGTGATGGCTATGAAGGTGATTTCATAACATGTCCAAACAGTTATTGATGTGCAATGTATGTTTCTGTGTGTAGAAGTACACAATTATTAGGCTCCCTAGAGTCCCTTCGTCACTAAAATAAGCAAGGAACTGCTGAAGATCTGAAACAAAAACAGAAATTGCTGGAGAAATTCAACAGGTTCTGGAGCATCTGTGGAGAGAAAACAGAGTTAACGTTTCAAGTCCATTTCTACAGATGCTGCCAAACCTGGTGAGTTTCTGCAGTAATTTCTGCACTTGTTTCTCTTCTTCACTGATTAATAGATTATCTTGACTCACTGAGCAGTGATTGATTCAAATTTAAGGAATGTAAAGGTGTTAGGTTTGGCGATAACACCTTAAGGTCACTTGCACAGTTCCATACAAAATATCAATTTCATTAGCGCATTGGGCTTAAAAATTCAGCCTGAGGGAAAGTGGGGTATCTGCAAGGCTACTTGCCCGCAAGTGGGTTGGTGTCCAATTAATTTTATGGGTATTATTGCTGGCTAAATGAGATTTTCCACTCTATCTCCAGGTTTTTAGAGGTGGGGGAGCAGGGTGACTACCTGGAGGTTGCCTTCTGGTATCAGACAGGAGGCATAATGCTTCAGGCACACTTGGAAATCCTCTGTACCTGTAGCAAATCATGTCTCATAAGTCTTTTTTCTTCGCTTTAGCATAGAAGGTTCAATGAGCCAAATGGACTTCTTCCAATTGTTATGACTTCTGACCCACTAAATGGGCAATTTGTGGATCAATAGTTGTTCCCCATGTAGTACAAGCTTCGAACCTGCACTGTAAACTGACAAGGAGATCAGAAGCTTGCAGGTTAAATCCTGCCCATGGAGTCCTTTGCCAAGATATCTAGGCTTGTTGTGTAATACTCTGTGAAAAAAGCCACAAATAAAATTTGATATGGTGGCAATTATTTTTGGTAATGTAGATCTACAGTTAATCCCATCAGGATCTCTTAATCAAACCTATGGTTTCTCACTAGAGTATTAGACAAGTATTAGTTACCTCAGGTACAAGAATGAAAAAGGGTTAAAATTAATAAAGGGTTATTTCAAAGGATTACTGCAATTAAAGTTGGTAAGCCCCCAGGACTGGATGGAATCCATTGGAGGATGAACATAGGAACATACAAGTTAAAGGCAGGAGTAGGCCACTCTGATCGTTGATCCTGCCATTCAATAAAATATGGCTGATCTGATTATTCCATGCTCCAGTCTACCTGCTGGGTTAACTTTTCATCTGCATACTTCACAAGAATCAATCTACCTCTGCCTTAAAATACTCAAAGACTTTGCTTCGACCATCTTCTCAGAAAGACAGTTTCAAAGATGCTCAATCTCCTGTGAGAAAATAACTCTGTCTTAAATGGGTGATCTTTATTTTTAAATAGTGACCCCTGATTTTCCTACCCAGGGGCACATCCTTTCCATAAGCACTCTGTGCAGACCTCCTCAAGATCTTGTATGTTGCAATCATCTCTTAGGCTTCTAAACACTAGCAGTCACAAGTCTAGCCCTTTGTCATAAATAAGACAAATTACGTAATCCAGGTATTAGTCTAGTAAACCTTCTCTGAACCACATCCAATACATTTGCATTCTTCCTTAAAGAAGGAGACAATACAGAGCACAGTACTCCAGGTGTGGGCTTGCCCATGACCCACAACTGAAGCATAATGCTCCCTACTTCTGTATTCCATGCCCCTCAGAATAAAACGTTGCATTTTTTTAGCCTTCCTAATTACTTGCTGTGCTTGTATTCTAACCTTTTGTGAATCATGCACAAGGACTCACAGGTGCCTCTATGTCTCAGAACTCTGCAATCTTTCACCAGTTAGCTAACATGCTTATTTCTTATTCTCCCGTCAACAAGGATAATTTACATTTTGTGTATTTTACTCCATTTGCCACATCTTTGCCAATTCACTTAACTATCTGACTCCCTTTGGAGCCTCCTTATGTCTTCATTGCAACTTAGTTTCTTACATATCTTTGCGTCATCAGTAAATTTGACAAACGTACCTTCCAAGCCTTCATTCAAGTCATTTGTACAAACCGTACAAGGTTGAAGCCCCTGACTGATTCCTATGGCATACCACTCATTACATCTTGCCAGCTTAAAAAGTTACATATTTATGTCTGTTCTTTGTTTCCTATCAACTAGCCAATCTTCTATCAGTGCCAATATATTACCTCTTATACCAAACACTGTTCTTTCTTGTAATAATCTTTGATGTAGCAACTTATCACATGCTTTCTGGAAATCCTTGTACAGTACTTCTTTACTTAAAGCACATGTAACTTTCTCAAAAAACTCCAATAATTTGGTTAAACAAGATTTCCTTTTCACAAAACCATATTGGCTCAGCCTGATTACCTTTAAATGTCTTTAATAATAGCTTCTAGCATTTTCTCTATAAAATTATAGAACTTACAATTTCCTGCTTCTGTCTAACTTGCTTTTTGAATAAAGGAACTGCTTTCACAATTTTTCCAATCGAAAGGAATCCTCCCTAAATATAGGGAGTTTGGGAAAAAAAAACACATTAACTATCTCACTAGCCATGTCTTTTTTTGTACGTTTATAGCTTCAACAATTTGCTTAGTCCCACTCACCTCATGATAGTAATTTTCTTGCATTTCTCTACTCCTTTCATTTCCTAATTTACAGCTATTTCTAGGATATTACCGCTATTCTCTAAAGTGAATCCTGAAGCAAAATACCACTGATGAGGGATATTGAGGCTTTGATCAGGAAAAAGAAAGAGGCATACATTGGGTTTAAGCTATCAACTGAATCTCTAGATGACTATAAAAAGTTGAGGAGCACACTTATGAGGGAAATCAGAAGAGCAAAAGAGGGGATGAGATTGATCTGGCAGATAAGCTTAATGATAATCACAAGAGGTTCTATAGCTATATTAAAAGTAAAAGGGTGGCTAGGGAGAGAATAGGACCCCTTAAAGATCAGCATGGCCATCTATGTGTGGAGCCACAGGAGACGGGGGAGATTGTTAATGAACATTTCTCCTCAGGGTTTACTGAGGAGAGAATCATGGATGCTAAGGAAATAAGGGAAACAAGTGGGGATGTTTTGGATTGCATATACATTGCCAGACAGAAGGTGTTTGCAGCCTTAGAAGGTGGATAAATCCCCTGGACCTGATCAAGTCCATCCTTGGACATATGGGAGACTAGGGAAGGAATTGCAGAGGCCCTTGCAGAGATTTTTGCTTCATCTTTAGCCACTGGTGAAGTTCTAAAAGACTGGCAGGTGGCTAATGTTGTTCTATTGTTTAAGAAAGATAGCAAAGATAAGCCAGGGAACTACAGGCCGGTGAGCCTGATAAGTTATTGGAGAGGATACTAAGGGACAGGATCAACCAATATTTGGAAAATCAAGGTCTGATTAGGGATAGTCAGCATGGATTTGTGCATGAGAAGTCATGCTGACAAATCTGTTAGAGTTTTACAAAGAGGTAACCAAGAGGATGGTTGAGGGTAGGGCAGTGGATGTTGTCTGTATGGACTTTAGTAAGGCCTTTTACAAGGTCCTGCATGGCAGGCTAGAGATGAAAGTTAGGTCACATGGAATCCAGGGAGAACTAGCTCATTGGCTCGATGGTAGGAAGCAGAGGGTGATGGTTGAAGGTTGTTTCTCGGACTGAAGGCCTGTGACTAGTGGTGTGCCACAGGGGTCAGTGCTGGGACTTTTGTTATTTGTTATTTTATGTAAATGATCTGCATGTGAATGTACAAGGCATGATTAGTGAGTTTGCAGATAATACAAAATTAGGAGGTATCATTGATAGCGAAGAAGGTTATCAAAAATTACAGAGGGTTTTTGATCAGATGAGGAAGTGGGCTGAGGATTGGAAAATGCAGTTCAATACAGATAAGTGTGAGGTGTTGCACTTTGGAAAGTCAAACTAAGGTAGAACTTAAAGAGTTAATGATAAGGTCCTGAGGAGTGTTGTGGAACAGAGGGACCTAGGAATACTAGTACATAGTTTGTTGAAAGCAGCGTCACAAGTGGACAGGGTGGTGAAGAAGGCATTTAGCACGCTGGCCTTCATCGGTTGAGTCATTGAGTATAGGAATTAGGTCATTATGTTTCAGTTGTGTAAGTCATTGGTGAGGCCGCATTTGGAGTATTGTGTACAATTTTGGTCACCTTATTATAGGAAAGACATAGTTAAATTGGAAAGTGTGTAAAGAAGATTTACGAGGATGTTGCCAGGACTAGTAGGCCTGAGTTATAGAGAGAGGTTGGCCAGAATAGGACTTTATTCCTCGGAACATAGGAGAATGAGGGGTGACCTTATTGACGTGTACGACCATCATGAGGAGCATAGATAGGACGAATGCATATAGTCTTTTCCCAGGGAAGGGGAATTGAAAACTGGAAGGCATAGGTTTAAGGTGAGAGGGGAAAGATTTAAGAAGGACCTGAGGGGCAACTTCTTCACGTAGAGAGTGGTGCGTATATGGAATGGGCTGCTGAAGAAAGTGGTTGAGGAAGGTACAATAGCAACATTTAAAAAACATTTGGATAGGTACATGGATGAGAAGGGTTTGCAGGGATATGGGCAATTAGAACTAGCTGAGTGGGCACCACAGTTTGGGCCAAAGGGCCTGTTTCCATACTGTATTACTCTATGACTCTATGAACTGTTCATCTGTCAACTCAATGTTTTCCATTATTTATTCCCTCGAATTAATTTCATTTCGTTAACCTATTTTGTTTTTTAAAAGTTGTAATTATGTTTTATCTCTCCCTTGTCACATTTTCTTGTACTCTAATTTTTCCCTCTTAAGTAACTGTTATGATTCCAGTTAATGGTCATACCGGACAGGTCTGATCCCAAAGTGAAACCTGTTTTGATAGACCAGAAGTTGTAGATGCAAGTATGTTACAACATTTAAAATACATTTGGACAGGTACATGATTAGGGAAGGTTTAGAGGGATACAGGCCAAGCGAAGGCAAGTAGGACTAGCTTAGTTTGGGAAACTTGATCAGCATGAACGGGTTGGACCAAAGGATTTGTTTCCAAGCTGTATGACTGTTTGACTAATTTGGCTACCGTGGTGGTCAGTCATTGATATTTTCACAAGAAACTACCAAAGTATTTTTAAAGAAGAAGTATCAAAGTTTATTACACACAAAAAGGAAAACACCATTTTACATAGTATAAAACTACTTGAAATGGCCTTACGATAAATATCAGAAGTAAGGATATAACCGTTTTACCTTCACAACAACCTTACAGACAGACAAACCTTGTCACATTTCCACGCTACAGCTCCCTTGTTCAGTTGTCATGGGTACAACTGGTTTCTTTCCAGCAAACCTCTACATGCACTCAATGCAATCTTCTTTCATTCATGTCTCCTCATGAGACCCTTAAGCAAAGTGCTAACACATTTACTTCTTAACATAGATTCCTTAAACATTTCTTCCACAGTATTCTGTTCTGGAGCTTTTTCTTACTGGCAATAAGTGACTCAGGACTACCTGTCTCTTCAAATTGCTTTGAAAACTGCTAAGGTAACAGCACCTTGCTGCCAGAGATCTGTTCTGTCTGACAGAAACCTGCACATTCACTGAAGAAACCTACTGGATGATTCTTTCTTTCTAATAGAATTAGTTTCTGCCTCTGTCTCTCAGTGTCATAGGGCACCTTGCTGCTGGACAACAGTCCCTTTTCTTCTTTTTTACTCGTTGTTTCCTAGAGCATTGAAATACTTAGTACAAGGATTTTTAAAAGCCCAATTTAAATGCAAGTAAACTAATTTCCAGACACCTCGGGACCACACAGAATTCAAAAATGAAAAGTGTTTCTTTTCCAAACCCACACAAAATAGAAAAACAATTTAGATTTAAAGGTATCTCTCTAGAATTCAAGTTTCCAAATACTGATAATCATGAACCATCATCACATTCATTTTTAGTATTTATTTGCTGATTTTCGTATTTCGTCCGATCTTCTGACTTGCCACTTCTGTGTAATTATGTGCTTTTCCTTTTAAATGGATATTCTCTTTTTTAATTAACTATTGTCGATAGAAACACTATTTGGAATTTTCTGTATTCGTTAGAATGTATCCATTTTTGTATTCTAAGATATTCCCTTAAATGCCTATCACTGCATTTCCATTGACCTATCCCTTAGCTCCATTTGCCAGCTCATTTTAGCTAGCTAGAGTCATAGGGTCGCATGGCATGGAAACGGACCATTCGATCCAACTCATCAATGCCAATCAAGTTTCCCAAACTAAACTAGTCCCATTTGCCTGGATTTGATCTCTCTAAACTTTTCCTATTTACGTATCTGTCCAAATGTCTTTTAAATGTAACTGTACCTGCACCTACCACTTCCTCTGGCAGAGATAGCAGGAACTGCAGATGCTGGAGAATCTGAGATAACAAGGTGTAGAGCTGGATGAACACAGCAGGCCAAGCAGCATCGTAGGAGCAGGAATGCTGACGTTTCGGGCCTAGACCCTTCATCAGCCTTCCTGCTCCTATGATGCTGTTTGGCCTGCTGTGTTCATCCAGCTCTACACCTTGTTATCTCACTTCCTCTGGCAGTTCATTCCAGATATGAATTATTATCTATGTGAAAATGTTTGCCATCATAATTGCCTTCATTTATGTTTAAAATATGGGTTTTGTGCCCACGCTTCTGTCCCCCCCCAACTCATTGCAAATTTTAATAACACTATGGTTCTTTCTGCCTAAAGGAACCTTCACTATAACATAATTAATCAATTCTACCTCAAGGTACGATACCAGATCTAGTATAACCCCTGCTGTATAAGCAGAATATACTTTCCTAAGAAACTATCCTGAAACATTCTATGAATTTCTCATCTAGGCTACTTTTGTTCACCTGATTTTTCTAATCTACATGTAGGCTAAAATCTTCCATGATATTGCCATACCTATCTGACAAGCTCTTGTAATTTTTTTCCTTTATACTTTGTCCTACCATGTGGTTACTGTTACGATGCCTGTGAAACACTCCCATGTACCACTTCTTGCATCTATCCTTTCTCATCCCTGCCCAAGCCGTCTCTACACCCTGATTGCTGAAAGTAGGCCTTTTTTCACAATTGTGTGAATACCATCCTTAATTAACAGAGCCACCCCTCCACCTTTTCCTAGTTCCCTCTGCTGCCTTAATATAATGTGCCTTTCGATATTCAGGTCACAATTCACATCATAATTTGATGACTAGTTCCTCCTGCTGACTCTGCAAGACTTTTTTCCTTGGCCTGTGTATGTTACTGGTGACTAGAAACAACTATGACTGGATCTCCCCAGCTCTATGTTTCTCTCCAGCCCTGAGCATATATTTCAAACTTTGGCACAGAGCAAGCAGCACAGCCTTCTAACTGAGTGCTCTTTTCTGGAGACAACAGTGTAAATCCCCCTCACTATTCTGTCCCCTGCTGCCACTATATTCCAATTTGCTATCTCCTGACTTGAACAGATTCCATAATACCATAATCAGTTAGCTCACTTGCCCTGCTGCCCTCACCCTCATACAAACACACTGAAAGAACATCTGAAGGGAGAAAATTGAACAGGTATTGTTCATAATCCCCTTGATCACACTGGGTACAAGGTGGATGCAATTTGAAAGTGTTGTGCTTTAATGTGAGAAACCAAGAAAATAATTGCTGCAGTAGAAAACAATTTGCTCGAGTTAATTTCTTGAAATTAAAGAAGATACTTCTTAAGCCACTACATTACTACTGAATATAATACCACATGGTTCACATGTTACCTGGGCAGGTAAAGTACCATCATTTTTGAGGACAACAGGCAGCTTCTCTGTTCGACCTAACAGTAGACGTGAGTAGATTAACAGTGGGTTCCCTATCTTATTGCGCAACATTGGCTGCAGGACATTGATCCGGGGCAGGTTCCCATCTCCAACAATATCAAATACCAGGGATTTTGACTTAGGAACACTGGAAAACAAAATGTGAGAAAGGAATGCAATTTTCCCAAAGAAAATAGTATAACAGCAATGGCAAATTCATGTATTTAACTTTGTGGATATACAACCCCATTCATTCTGTAAAGCTAATCTTGCAAAATACACGTAAAAATGTTTGGATCTTTGCTTTCTATAGTTGAGATTTTGCAATTTCTCCTTTTTTCCATGGATTGGTAAACTTTCAGGTCCATTGTTTCAAGTCTGGCAGTATCTATCTGCAACCTCACCTGGGCGAATTTTTCTTATATGAGTGCAAACTGCAAGAGCAGATTAGATTAATGACGGATTCTACACTCCCGCCAATTTGTGTTTGCATCAGGCACAACTTTTACTTTTTTTCATTCTAGGACTACTATGCTCATTTGTAAATCATCAGGATCTTTGCAGGTCTGATAAATCAGTTCAGGAAGCAGACTACAAATTGTACACTTTGGATATAGATATATTGATAGGAGTGCAATCAAAATAAATCTACAGCAGAGAAGGCCATTCAAACCATTTCATGCAGCTATTTATACTCTTTGTCCTGGTGGTTTACAAGTCAGCACAATACTTTAGGTCAGGAAAAAGTGAAAGTTGTGTCTGATTATTGTGCAGTAGTTGTTGAAGCATAGATTTGCATGAGGATAGGATCAGTTTTTGAAATAACCAATGCTTGCAGCCTCGGCTGGAATAATGGCCTAGAATTTCTTGAGAGGGGCAATCACAGTCAGCTTACCAACTATGACCATTTTAAGTTGGGAAAAAATGCTTCACATTTCTGACAGGAGATTCCGATCAGGGCTCCTTCAGAAATGTGAAGTGTACTTTAAATCTGACAGATTGATCACAGCGTAGGATAGTCAGGAGAATGCAAATCATACCCAGTAGAGGAGAGGTTCAGGGAAAGGCTAGGGCTGTTGTTGGATCTCAGGGTGAGACCGGTGGTGCTGTTTCCGAGGTGGAGATAAGTGCTGGCCCTGGGTCGGAAAGTGACCGTCATGTCCCTTGAGGGAAAGGGTGTATGTTAGGTCCCAGAAGGAGAAAAGGGTTGTCAGGTCAGAACGTGAAAGATGTAAAGGGGCTTAGGGAGGTGTATTTGAAGGTGTGTGAGGGAATTTGGGGATCAGGCAGATAGTTACTCAGGAGTTAGACTATGTATCTAACTATTTACTCTCTAACTGGTTCCTTAACTGCAGAGGAACCATCTGAATTCTCCTGTTTCAATGGAGAATTTTGGAGGGTTCCTGACGAAGGGAAATGGTCCAATTTCCTGGCTAATTCCTATGGAGTCTGTTATGTCAGAGATTCCACAGGGTCCTCGTGTCCCCAACTCCCATCGACTTTTAGAAATGGCTATCTGGTCTTTGGAAAATCCAGGCCAATTGATTTGGGTGAAGTTACAAATAGATACTGCCACTCATGAAACAACAGACCTAAAAAGGTACTGATTAGGACAAAAATGGATCAGAGAAATCTCAACTGTAAGAAGCAAGAATTTAAACATTGGTTCTGTCCTCATTTATGAATCAAGCCACAAAGTAATTGTCAGTATGGACTGTCCAAACCACTCTGGCAGTGAGTTCAATATTCACAATATTCACTATAAAGAAATCTCTCACAATTTGTTTCTTTTAATCTGACTTTTTTAATGCCCCTTTGTATGGACTCCCCAAAGCAAGTGGAAACAATTTCTCTACATCTACTATAACAAATGCCTTCACATTTTTAACTCGTTCTGAGGTCTCCTCTTGGTCTCTTCTATTCTAGTATAAGCTAGCTCAATGGTTCCTGGTGCAGGATCTATCATTGTGGGAACATCCACTTCTGGCTCAACATCTTTATCTATTAAAAGGTGACCAGAACTGTGCAGGGGTAGGGACTGCAACATGAGATTGACCTGTGTATGTTGCTTTTGATAATGGCAGGATGCATACCTTGGGTTGTCTGCTCTTTTGATGGAATGTAATCCAGTAGCATGTAACCCAGCAGGAAATATGCAGTTAGTTGGTTGCATGCCTCAGCAGATGGCCCAAGTTTATGTGAAGTGAGAAACTCTTAAAGGAGTGCATCAGTCTAGCTGGAGCAGGTACACGATGTGTCTGGATAAGAGCTCCTAGCCTATTGGAGAGTGACAAATAGGACTGTCAGGGATGGGGTGTAACTGGGGGTATGCTCTATGCATAACGTCCTCGAGACATGTGGGAAAAGGAGATAGTGGATGCTGCTTACTAAATAGACAGTCAATTTAGTAGAATGTCTCATCACCAAAAATTTCAAACACCTAGACAAAGCTTGGCTATTGATATGATTGGCGTCAGAGCCTTCATGCAAGCCTAAAGTCTCCCTCCTCTCTGCCCTTGAGGCAGCGGCAGTGGGGAAGACGCACTCACCCACCTTCTTCGGAATGCATCTTTCTAAAGGAGCTCTGAGAAAGATGCAGTATGTTTTGTCGAACTACCGCATCCATATCTTGGAGCAAGTTGTTTGAGCAGAACCTCTGAAGTCTGAATCAACTCGTTCAGCACCTGCCATTACTTTCCCTGTGGACTTACTTCAAGTTAGCAGTCACAAAACCCTTCTGCAGAGGTAGCAACAGCCAATAAAAATCAATCAGCAGATATCCTGAAGGTAGTTGCTGATTCCGTTTAGTGGAGTTGATGGGAAGACTTAATTGTGGGTGAACTCATGTTCGGCTGTCTGTATTCGAGAGGTGTTAGATGCAGCTGTGAGGTCAAGACTTGAGGTACATGCTGTCTGTGCAAGGGAACAGCCCATTCATGATAGCACTGGACACACCTGCATCAATGTGTTTGCGCCTTACAGATGCCATTTTGGAACAAAAATAGTCCCCAGAATTTACATAAACAAACTTCACTAAGCATACAGGGAATCCTAGCTTTAATTCTTCCATTTTAAAACTAATTTTGCTGAAGAGTTGTTTCTTTATGTCCTTTCTCTTTATTTAAAACATTATACACTGTTTTGACATCACTTAATTCCTAGTTATGTCTAATGTCATTCTATCAGATTTATTTTTATTCATTTGTGGGATGTGGGCGTTGCTGGCTTGCCAGCATTTATTGCCCACTCTTGGTGGTGGCCATTGAAATTTCCCACTCAGAGTACACTTTGTGCCCTTGCTATCCTCAGTGCTTCCTCCAAGTGTTGTTCAACATAGTGGAGTATCAATTCATCAGCTGAGGGAGGACAGTTGTCCTTGAGAAGGTGGTGGTGAGCTGCCTTCTTGAACCGCTGCAGTCCACCTGCTGTGGGTTGACCATTAGGGAGGGAATTCCAGGATTTTGACCCAGTGAGAATGGAAGAACAGGGATATATTTTCCAAGTTAGGATGGTGAGTGGCTTGGAGGAGAACTTAAAGGTGTTGGTGTTCCTATGTATCTGCTGCCCTTGTCCTTCTAGATGGAAGTGCTTGTGGATTTGGTAGGTGCTGTCTGAGGATCTTTGGTGAATTTCTGCATCTTGTAGATAGTACACTTTGTGCTACTGAGTGTTGGTGGTGGAGAGAGTGGATGCTTGTGGATGTAGTGCCAAGCAAGCGGCTGCTTTGTCCTGGATGGTGTCAAGTTTCTTGAGTGTTGTTGGAGCTGCACTCCTGGCTTGTGCCTTGTAGATGGTGGACAGGCTTTGGTGGACGGGAGGTGAGTTACTTCCCGCAGTATTCCTAGTCTCTGCTCTTGTTGCCACTGCGTTTATGTGGCAAGTCCAGTTGAGTTTCTGGTCAATGGTAACCCCCAAAATGTTGATAGTGGGGGATTCAGAGGTGGCAACACCATTAGTGGAGAAAACAGATGGTGATAACACCACTAAATGTCAATGGGCAGTGGTCAGATTGTCTCTTATTGGTGATGGTCATTGCCTGGCATTTGTGTAGCACGAATATTACTTGCCACTTGTTACCCAAAGCCTGGATATTGTCCAGATCTTGTTGCATTTCAACGTGGTCTGCTTCAGTATCTGAGGAGTTGTGAATGGTGGTGAACATTGTGCAATCATCGGCGAACATCCTCACTCCTGACCTTATGACGGAGGGAAGTTCATTGAAAAAGTAACTGAAGATGATTGGGCCTAAGGCAGCACCCTGAGGAACTCCTGCAGAGATGTCCTGGAGCTGAAATGACTGACCTCCAACAACCACAACCATTTTCCAATGTGCCAGGTGTGACTCCAACCAATTTAGAGTTGCCCCTGATACCCATTGATTCCAGTTTTGCTAGGGTTCCTTGATGCCACACTCAAGTCAAATGCAGCCTTGATGTCAAGGGCTGTCACTCTCACATCACCACTGGAATTCAGCTCCTTTGTCCATGTTTGAACCAAGGCTGTAATGAGGTCAGGAGCTGAGTGGCCCTGGCGGAACCCAAACTGAGGTCCCTGTGTGTGCTGCTAGAATTAGCGTCAATGTGTCTGTATTCTGCAGCCGAATGTCATGATTCCCTTTTTAAACAGTTATCTGTTCAGGTACCTGTATAACCCAAGCATCTGCTCTACTGTCCTCTACAGGTAAAATAATGGAGGATTTGTATATTTGCTGTGCGATAATGTGAATTTATCTATAGACTTCCCTGAAAGCAAGAAGGCTGTTTTCTTCACTGAAGCCTTCCTTGTTTTGTTTTGCATGTTATTTCAGCTCAGAATGCATAGTACTGCACATGTACGGCACCGTATTTCAATTTGTTTCCATGCAAAAATTATCCTCAGGAACCCAACTCTGACTTTAACATTGACTTCTGTCGAAAATCACGCTTTACTTTTAGTTATTTTACTTCAAGTTGAGATTTTCACAAATGTAAGCCAGCTTTAAGTGAGTTCACCCTGTATGCGTAATCATGATTCAACGCAAATTTAATTATATCTTCCCAATTTGGAAGTCTATAGAAATTAACCTCTGTAGTTTGTTTGCAGTTTTTATGTCTTTCTCAATTTAGTTACTCTTAATAAGTTATGTATCTCAGATCTATTTGTGGCTCTGTCCCATCAATTGTAACAATATAATGTCCATAGACTAATGCTATACCCAGGTGTTGGCTCCACAACAGCTTCGAATATGCACTGGTAATTCTGCATGGTCTGAGGTGTGAATGTAACAACCACAAACTTGTGGTCATAGCTCGGGATGTTCATTCTGGTGGGTGTCACATCAAAAATATCAGTAATGCGAGCAGCAGCCTGAAAAACCAGAACAAAACAAACAGTGAACCAAACATTAGTATCGAAAGTACAATTGTAGTGACTAGGCAAAAGTCCCTGGACGCCAGTGATCTGAAATAAAAACAGCAAAAGATGGAATACTTCAGCAGCATTTGCAAAGAAAACCGAGCTAAGGAGACAGAATTTGGTGTCCCAGAAAGGTGTGGAATGGATGTGGGAAGCAAAGTTGAGGCTGTGGAACTGGAATTGCCCCCAGGCCCCATACAACATCCCATCTGCAGGAGACGTTCAGGGTCTAACTCTGTACCCACATCCTGTGACATAGGGTGACCATAGACCAGCCTAGGGGGAATTTACTTTTAAAATCCCACTGTATTTTCATCAAGTACTCCATAGGTAAGATAGAGTGAAATGAATTGCAACAATACCTAGTAATCTCATAGGCTACAGTGTACTGTGTTTATACATTATTGTTGAGTTACACCATGCACTTACTTTATTAGAAACTGGTTTAACAGATACGAGCACATCAGCAGCTACTTTCCCTCCATTGATAATCTTGAAGCGAGCCTCAGCTTGATCCCCAACATGTACATTATGGAAAAGGTATTTCTTCTCATCCTCCACATAGACTCCGCTGCAACCAATAGACTGCAGGCACCGGTGGAGATTAATATTCTGGCAAATATGATGCTCCTCAAAGATGGAAGCAATGTCATCCACCACAATACCTGGGCAAGCAATGAACACCAATGAATCTACAGCAAAGAAAGCATAAGCTTAACACAGGCAACAGATTACCAAACATTATAAGAAAGATTTTAGAAGGCAATTCAGAAATTTAGAAATCAAACTGTTTTTTAACACAACAAACACCCAGATGCACACACCTGCAACTTAGAAAGCTCATATGTAAATCCTTTTCTCAGCAGACCACAAGAAACTTGTAAATATTTTTAAATTATCTTGTTTGTCAAAGGAGAAAGGCAAGAAAAATGAAAAAAAAACTGTTTTTTACTCATTCCATGTGACATGTGCACTGGTCACAGCAAAGGCTACTTGGCAAAGTAATGATTGTAATGAGGTCAGCCAGGTAGCCCTCAGAGAAAATGAGTTCCCTGGTGTGCCTGTTAAATTGGTTCAGTCAGGGAGCTCTGAATGACAGAGAACAAGAGGAATTACTCTGTGCTTCGTGACAAAAGGGAGCGATTGGTGGTGTGATCCTTGGTCTGTCAGGGTGGTATGGTGCACATGCACAAGGCTGGCTTGTACTGTGTCTCCCTAAGCCTATAACCCCCAAGGTAATGCTGCTTTGTCGTTGGCACCTTCCCCTGAACCACTGCACTGGCTTTTTTTGTCGCCTGCAATGCCTTTGTAAGTTCGTTCCTTTGGGGATCTAGGGTGGAGGGTGTTGCACGTAGCAATCCTGCATAACCGCAGATTGCGGTGATTAATGGACTCCCAGCCCAACTGTTTATTTTGTGGCGCGGTGGAGTCCATGGACCATGTATATATTGGTTGTGGGTGTTTTTACCGCTTTTTTAATTATTTGAAAAACCTTTTGCTATGTTTTTGGTTGCACTTCAGCCCCACACTCCTGATCTTTGGGCACCCAATGTGGATCAGGTTGGGCAGATCGGAGGACCTCCTTGTGGGTCTGCTCCTGGGCCTGGCCAGGCTGATTATAAATGGGTCCAGGCAGTGGGCCATGGAGGAGGGTTATCTCTGCAGACTGCCTTCCCTTCTTCGCGGCTATTTTCAAGCCTCGCTGTCCTTGGAAAAGGAGTATGCAGTGCCCATCAGTGCTCTCAAGGTCTTTAGGGAGAGGTGGGTATCATGGGAGGGTGGAGTGCTTTATTTCCCCCTCCAATTCCACTTTAATTTAATCCCTACCCTCCCTCTTCACTTTCTTCACGTAAGCATTGCCCTTATCCAGCTTTGCTTGTTAATGTTTCACTGGCCATGTGGGTGCTTTCCTAGTGGTGGAAAGTATGGAATAAAGTTTTTGCACAATGGTGTCTCTTTACTGAGTCACTGCAAATACACACACACCATGGGTGTTCTGGGGAAAATATAAGCAGTACTGCTGTGCAGTGGTCCTGTGAGGGATATTAAAAAAAACGAAAACAGGGGATTCAGGGTCTCCCCACTTCAAGGACTGACTGCGAGCTGAAAAAAAAGAGAAAACAAACAGGAGATTCAGAAGATCTCAGTCTAGGGACTGGCTCTCAGCTGGCGGGCCACAGCCAGTTTACTCAGTGCAGTTGCTGCTGACAAAAAGAACGAGGAGTGTCACAGACTCTGAGCTGACTCTAAAGAGGCAATAGCAGAGCGAAGGACTGTTCATGTGTAAATAAAGGGTGAATTGGTGACAGGATACCACCTCTGTGGAGTTATTTCAGTGGTGCTGAGAGAAAAGCATATTCCTGAAAAACGTGCTCACAGCAGTAGTATTTGAGTTGGAGTGAGCATTTCTTACATTCATGCCTTTGTTTGGGAAGGTTGACTCATTCGACCCTGCTGTCAAGGACTGGGCCCAGTATGTGGAAAGAATGTGAGATAACACAGTGTGGAGCCGGAGGAACACAGCCGGACAGGCAGCATCAGAGGAGCAGGAGAGCTGCTGTGTTCCTCCAGCTCCACACTGTGTTATCTCAGACTCCACCATCGGCAGTTCTTACTACCTCTGGTAAGAATGTGTTATTATTTCCGGGCAAACAACATTGTGGCAGATGAAAAGCAACGAATAATTTTCCTCACAACCTGTGGAGCTGCAGTTTTTTCTCTTATCAGGAACCTAACTTTTCCTGAGGCACCAGATACTAAAACCTTTCAAGAATTGACAGGCTCAGTTAAGGAATATTACGACCCCAAGCCTCCTTTGGTTCAAAGACGCTATTGTTTTTACTCAGCAATTAAAGAATCAGGGGAATCCGTATCAATATTTTTGATTAGCTTAAGATGATTTGCAGAAGCATGTGACATTGGTTTAACCCTTAAACGGATGCTCAGAAACTGTTTGGTATATGGGATTAATGATGTAACATTACAAGAGCACCCACAAGCTGAAGCACAACTGGACTTTAAATAGGCTTTATCATTCGAAAATATAGCAAGTGGAGCACATGAGTTGCAGGGTATTCCAATGGAAGTGGACACCCTCGCCAGTCCAACTGAGGTTGGGGAAGACCACTTGAGTGTAGGCTATTGCATTAGCTCACTCAGGACATTTCCTGATCAGAGGGACTCCAGGTCAGCCTACAACAAAACCCTGAAACAAAGCCAAGCCTTAGCCAAATGGTTAACGTTTTCTTCAGGATCCTGGCTGGCAAGCCATTGTAATTGCTACTGGCAAGCAGACTCGAGACGGATAAAGAGACCTACTATACCTAAACTGAGTAAGATAACTCATAGGTCAGTATCCAGGAGAGGTTATACCCTGGAAAGTCTATCTACATCTGGTTTGGAACATTTAAGTTGCTCAGCAACATCCAAATCAGAACCGATCAAAATAAATGCCTGGTTAAATGGTCAACCGGTTCTAATAGAGGTTGATAGTGGCGCAGGCATATCAGTGATCACAGGACCAGTTTGCAGCAAAATTCAATTGGGACTCCAGCCCTTAAGTTTGCTCAAGCCCTCAGTTTGGCTGAAAATCTGATTGGGGAATCTAAACAGATTAAGGGTACTCCTTCGGTTCCAGTCTCTTATGAAAAGCAGCTGGTTCAGTTACTAGTGATTTTAGTAAAAGGCTCAGGCCCAAGCTTGTTGAGGCGAGATTGGTTGTGAGAGATTCACCTTGATTGGCTGAACATTTTTCAATTAGAAGATGGCTGCCTGAGCGAAGTTCTAATTAAATACTCAGAAATCTTCCAGAAAGGTCTAGGGACTATCAGAGAAGCCAAGGCCACCTTGCATATAGTCATGGAAATATACAGCACAGAAACAGAGTCTTCGGTCCAACTCGTCCATGCCGACCAGATATCCTATATAAATCTATTCCCACTTGCCAGCATTTGGCCTATATCCCTCTAAACCCTTCTGACTCACATACCCTCCAGATGCCTTTTACATGTTGTAATTATACCAGTCTCCACCACTTCCTCTGGCAGCTCATTCCATACATTCACCACACTCTGCATGAAAAAGTTGCCCCTTAGGTTCCTTTTATATCTTTCCCCTCTCACCTTAAACCTATGCCCTCGAGTTTTGGACTACCCCACCCCAGGAAAAAATCCTTGCCTATTTACCGTTTCCATGCCCCTCATGATTTTATAAACCTCTATAAGGGGAAAATAGCCCCAGCCTATTCTGCCTCTCCCTGTAGCTCAACCCCCCCAACCCTGGCAACATCCTCGTAAATCTTTTCTGAACCCTTTCAAGTTGCACAGCATGTTGACCAGGAAGCAATTGCATGATTCTGCAAAGCCCACCCAGTGCCATTTGCCTTACATACAAAAGTAGAAGGTAGAAGCAGAAATCAAAAAGCTGGAAAGTGAAAGAATCATCAAACCAGTCCAATTTGTGAAATGGGGCAGCACTGATCCTATTGATTTTGAAGCCCGATGGGTCAGTTTGCCTTTATGGAAATTTAAAACAAAAATGGTAAACTGCTTTTCACAGCTGAATAAATACTCAATCCTTCGCACACAGGATTTATATGCAAAGTTGGCAAGGACAATTTCTTCACGAAGTTGGACGCGAGCCACGCTTACTTGCAATTGCATTTAGATAAGTATTCCCAGAACTATGCTACAATTAATACCCATAAGGCTTGCACCAATATAGGGGCCTGCCATTTGGGGTATCATTAGCCTGTGCCATTTTTCACTGGACAATGGAAAACATTTTGCAAGGTCTACCTCAATTCGTCATTTACCTCGATGATGTTCTAATAACAGGGAAAACTAATAAAGAACACTTAGAGAACTTGGATATAGTCCTAAGGCCTTTTTCCAAGGTGGGCTTGTGCCTAAGAAAGGAAAAATGTGTTCCAGGCCCCCAGGTGACCAGAGGCAAAAGAATATGCCTTCCATAAAAGGTAAAGTTTTTAATTGGAGTAAGGCAAATTTTAATAGTATGAAACAAGAATTTTCAAAAGTTGATTGAAGTACACTGATCACAAGTAAAAGGACGTCTGACAAGTGGGAGGCGTTCAAGAGTGTGATAGTGAGAGTTCAGAGGCATTTAGTCCCTGTTAGAGTGAAGGGTAAGGCTGGTAAGATTAAGGAACAATGGATGAATAAAGATATTGAGGTTCTATTCAAGAATAAAAGAGAATCTTATTTTACATATAGACAACTTGGTTCAATTAATTGTCTTAACCATTATAAAGAGTGTAGGGGCATTCTTAACAGAGAGGTCAGGAAGGCAAAGAAGGGATATGAGTTAGCATTGGCAGAAAAGGTTATGGATAATCCTAGGAGATTCCAAAAACACACTGACCAAAAGAGTAACTTGAGAGAGGTTAGGGCCTCTTAAAGATCAAGGAGGTCACCACTGTGATGAACCCCAGGAGATGGGAGAGATCCTAAATGAATATTTCACGTAAGTTTTTACTGTGAAGAAAGAAATGAAGTCTAGAGAATGCAGAGAAATAAACTCTGATGTTTTAAAAACAGTTCACATTACAGAAGAGAATGTTTGGGAGGTTCAGGAGAATTTAAAAGGTAGATAGATAAAAAGAGAAATGTCAGGGATTCTGGCACTCTGAAAGCTGACTCTGAAGTGG